TGCAGTAACAAACCAAAGACCAAATCATTACACATAGATTGTTTTGATATTTTGTCTATTCCACGAGATTCGATTTTAAATTTCTTTTCATTTCAGAAAATGCCTCAATATCTGTGACTGTCATGTCATGTCTGCTTCCAAATCCCCTACTATTTCTGTTTCAGTGTAAAATAATAATTCTGAATTTCTTCAAAGGAGTAAGAGAGTAAATCTATAACAACTTGGGGCGGGACCCTTCATCAATAACACAAAAAGATCTCCCAGTCTCTCGTGTGGAATCAGTGGGTTTGATGTCTTTTTCTACAGCTTCGACCAATCACGTCCGGGGATTTGAGGCTTGGAGCAACGGGGCGAGAACCTCAACATGAATTTGATAAAAGCAATGTTAAGTAAAAAGTTAAGTAAAGTGGAGTATAATTTCCTTTTTTCACAGCCACAGGACCAACTGCAAAGGCTGTGAGGAACATAAAGTTGTGTAGAGGCTTAAGTTGGCCAGTATTGACCAGTGGCTATTTTCCGCTCCAGGGAGTTCTGTGGAGACGCATCATGTTTTTTCGCCACGTCGACAAACAGACATAGTGCACACAGGGTAATTGGACAAAAAAGTCGTTAATATACAGCACCTCTTCACATATATACACATATTTGTAATCTTGTCATTTAAAAAGGAAAAAGACAGTTCAGAATTAAAGATATGTATAGATAGATAGATGCCTGTAGGATATAGATGCCTGTAGGAGATAGATATATAGAAATACTTTACCCCTTAGTAATCCCGAAGGAAATTATCAGCTACTAAAACCAGTAATCAGGTCATTCGTCACAACATGATAAAATAGATGGAAATAAATACAAAATTCATTAAAAAGCAATTAAAAAATAGAGTTAATTCAATTTAAATGTTTTCAGTATGTGTGTTCTCGAGTATAATCAAAAAGGTCGTACAGAATTCCAACAGAGGTGGTAAAAGTACAACTCTTTGGTACTTGGGAAAGGTATAGAGACACTAATACTAAAGTTTTTAGTACGTTTTGATATGATTCCCTTACCTTAAGTAAAAGTATGTGTTTTTGTAAGTAAAAGTAAATTATTATATTTTTCAATTGTAGGTAAAGAACACTTTAAAGAGAAATGTTTTAACGTGTTCTCTGAATGGTTAAATACAGTAAAGTCTTTACAATCCACGTGTTGTTGCCAGTATCGAGTCTGTGTTTGGCTCATCAAACAACCAACTTATTATGGTTTTTTTTGCTATTTAAATATATATCTACCATTAAAAATGAAAAATAATCTCCTATAAATGTTGTCTTTAGTCACAGAAACAACACCAGACCGTTGAGTAGAACTTAAGCTCATGGTTAGACAACAATCCATTTAGTCACTTATTAGAAGATTAGAAGCATGGCTAACCATTTCAAACTAATGTTGTGTCTCCATCTCAATCTTTTACTCCAATGTAAGGAAAGAAAGTCCAGATATTTGGGATTAAAAGTTAAAGGAGAAAAAGCAAAAAAGTTTGACAAGGTCTTAACGTACTCTTTGAAAGCGGCTGAAGGTCAAGTGTTATCAGTGAGACGAGTCGCAGGTCGCAGAGGCTACACACCTGTGCGTCTGTCAGTGCTGGCCGGGCATCAGGGCTGATACAAAGAGCATCTCTGTGACCTGCCACCGAACAGAAAACTACATTCATCCGTGAGTTTTCTGACCGCTCCTCTGTCCGCAAACGTGAGAGCTCTAAAAGTGATGGCTATCTGGGGCCGGGCTGAAGGAGAGGCTGACAATTGACCCCGGTTTACCCATCCATCCATTTTCTTCCCCTTAATCCATTTCTGGGTTGGGGGGGTGGCAGTCAGAGCTGCACCCAGTACACAGAGCACCAGCCCCTCACTGATCCTCCTGCAGGTGGTGAGTCCACAGGAGCTGAGATCTTTCAGTTGGGGCTTTAGGCAAAGTAGGGTTAAGTGTCTTGCCCAAGGACACAACGACAGCAGTCATCAGTGGGAGTCGTGAAGTAGGTCTTACAGTGGGCTCGAACCCATGACCTTCAGGCCCAAAGGCCAATGCTGTACCAACTGAGCTACTGTCGCCCTGGTTTACCCATTGGCTTTCATACAGGGGCCATAATTTCTTTCAGGGGCCCTACAGCAGAAACTGGTTCACCCTCTCACTCCATGTGGGGAGCGCATCTGCCAAGGTCGCGTCAGTTCATGCATTCGCAATCACGCTCCCTACTTTCTGGATTTCAAACTCTCACTTCCCCCATTGTCATCACTACCTATTTCACCCCTAAAGTGTAATAGTATAATAATAGTTTTTTCCCTTTTTCTGATCTTCATGGGTGGGACCCATCACCTTTTTACAGCGACCTTATTACACCTCCTTACATTTTTCGTGTTTAAACTTTTTGTTTTGAAAAAAAAAGCAGAGATTTTATATAATGCTTTTTGGACATTCAAGGACGCTTCATATGTCATTATTCATTCACTCCATACACGGTGGTGATAAACTACTACTGTAGCCACAGCTGCCCTGGGGCACACTGACAGGAGCGAGGCAACCAGTATGTGCTATCGGCCCCTTCAACCATCACCAACCATTCACACACACACCAGACCCAACACCATCCAGCCGCGTCTGGATGGTGTTGGACAGGGACAAGCTGGAGATGCCTGGAGTGGACAACAACCTGTCTGAGTGGATCCTGGACTACCTCACTGTTGGTATGGATTTTCCCCATGATTGCCATGTCCCCCCCTCCATGGGGGCTGGCTTGCTCCTGGCTTGCTCCTGGCTGACCCCCCTTGATCAATCCAGTGGAACCTGGGAGTAACCTCACAGCCAGTATATAGAGAGCTGGGATGGACTAGTTTGGGCTCTTGGTCGGTGTCAACTCTCTACATGTAGCAGCCTAATGCTGAGGCCCAGAGCCTCCAGGGTTCTCTCTCTCTCTCCAACCATCTCTCCTTGGGGTTTGATATTTTCTGTTATGTCTGTATGTATTTTGTTATAATTCAGTGTCATTAAATGTCCTCTTTTATATCTATTGGTTTGGGCCAATTATGTACAGCAACGATTACATTTTCTTGATAACACTCACAGACAGACCCCAGTTGGTGAGAACCAGGGACTTTGTGTCTGAGGTCCTGACCTGCAGTGTGGGGGCCCCCCAGGGGACCGTTCCTCTTCACCCTCTACATTGTGGACTTCAGACACAACACGGACAACTGTGTCCTCCAGAAGTTCTCTGACGACTCTGCCATCATCGGACTCAGCTCCGAGGACGATGACACAGAGTACAGAGGAGTTAGACTTTGTGGACTGGTGTCAGCGGAACCACCTCCTCATCATCGCGGGGAAGACCAAGGAGATGGTGGTGGATTTCCGCAGATGTCACTCTGCCGCTCCAGCTCCAGTGTACATCCAGGGAAAGGACATTGAGAGAGTGGACTCTTACAAGTACCTGAGTGTTCATCTGAACCACAAACTGGACTGGACTCATAACACAGACGCCCTCTTCAAGAAGGGCCAGAGTCGCCTCTACCTGCTGAGGAGGCTCAGGTCTTTTGGAGTGCAGGGGCCACTCCTAAAGACCTTCTATGACTCTGTGGTGGCATCAGCCTCATGCACGGTCTGGTCTGCTGGAGCAGCAGCATCACAGAGAGAGACAGAAAGAAGCTGGACAAGGTCATCAGGAAGTCCAGCTCTGTCCTGGGCTGTGGGTGCACCCTCGCCGTGTGAAGGAGAGGTTCCTCCTACTGTCAGACTGTACAAAAAACAATGAGGACTAATGAACACTGCCAACCTTATCTCACGTGTCATGCGTCAGTGCACGGCAGTAGCTCATTTGGTCTTTGGACCTAATGGTTGTGGGTTCGTTCTCACCACAACCCATGTCACCTGCTCCCACTGATGTCTGCTGTCGTTGTGTCCCTGGGCAAGACACTTAACCCCACATTGCCTGAAGCCCCCGCTGAAAGACCAAGGCCATGTCTCAGACGACAGAGAAGCCATCTTCCTGTGAACCCACCACCTGCAGGAGGATCAGTGAGGGACTGGTGCTGAGAGACTTGGGTGGCAGCTCAGATTGCCACCCCCTCGACCCAGAAATGTTACAATATAGGGGAACCCACATCTGTCACTGTCACTTTTCTGAGTCACTGTGTCCCAAAGCCTCATACTGCTAATGTACAGATGTAAACATACTGCTGCTAACATGTACAGATGTAAACATACTGCTGCTAACATGTACAGATGTAAACATACTGCTGTTAACATGTACAGATGTAAATACTGCTGCTAACATGTACAGATGTAAACATACTGCTGCTAATGTACAGATGTAAACATACTGCTGCTAACATGTACAGATGCTAACATATAACTACACATCGCTTCACTAGAATACACAGTACTTTATACTAGGGCTGGGCGATATGGCAAAAAAGTAAAAGCTTGATTTTATTTCCTGCTTTGGACAATTTTGATTCAAATATATTTTTACTAAAGTCACCAAAGTCAATTTTTTTTTGATTTTCTCAAAAGCTGATTAATTGCCTAAATTTCGATTTATTGCCCAGCCCCATTTCATACTTGCCTCTTACTTTGCCAAATGTAAAAAAATTATACTTCTTTATTATGCTCAAGGTAGAGATTTTATACTTGTTTCTTTGATGCAAGAGTTTTTGTTTGATTTCATTTAGTATAGTTATTGTTCACTTAACTTGTGCTGTGTGCTCCTCATTTCTACTGTTCTGTAACTTGTGCTGCAACACTGAAATTTCCCCGCTGTAGAACAGATAAAGGATAAAGGCACTTTTACTCTTAATTGTATGTAACTGTGTGTGACTTTTGCTGGGACTCCCTCAAAAAAGAGGTTCTTGAGCTCAATGGGACTTTCCAGGTTAAAAAATCACAGTTGCGTGCCCTGGCTTTAATTTGGGATGAATTAAAACCTGGAGATGGTTTAAAGTTTTCAGTGCTTGAATATAATCTTTCTTCCGATGGTGGTGGTGGAAGAAACCATGGAATGTGCACAATTCACAGTGAGGGATGCTGACCTCGGCCTGGGTTGTATCAGCCTCATGCAGTCCTGGGAGCAGAGGGGGACCAGCTCTCAGACGGGGGGATACCTGCTCCCCACTGCCCGGCCCGCCACCTGGTTTGACCCTGTGGGATTTGGCAACGCTCCTGCTGCGTGCTGCACATACTCAGCGGTCTCTCATTTTGAACTGGCACAAGGGAGCTTTCAGACGGACATCTGCTGTTTATAAAAGTGTGTGTTTCCTCTTTTCGAGTGATATAAAATAAAGTGACTTGATCTGTATGAAGGCAGTTATTTTCCTTTGCTGTGTAGGTTTAGAAGCTAAGATAAGATAAGAAATGAAGAAGACAGATTAAGACATATTCAACTCTCTGGGGCAAAATCAGGCGCACGATCTGATCTGGCCCATCTTCCAAATTCAGAAAACCTTACAGCCATTTATTTCATTGGTTAAAGTTAAGAATACTTTACTGTCCCTGTACATTTAAGGTAAGGTAAAGGTGTATTTTATTTATCCTCGTAGGGCAATTCATAACTCTGCATTTGACCCATCCTTATGCCACTAAGTCTTACGTCAGGGGCAGTGGTCGCCGTAGTAACAGCGCCCAGGAACCCATCTCCAAATTTTGATGCTGGGCTTGGTCAGGACTACCGCATCTGGAGGATTTACCTATTGTGCACGTTTTTAGTGGAAGGGGAAACTGGAGCACCTGGAGGAAACCTATGCAGGCACAGGGAGAACATGCAAACTCCACTCAGAAAGACCCTGTATGTACCCTGTATGTGGCATATCGTCCAGATGGTCTCCACCCGAACAGATACGGCACCAGTTTGTTTATGGACTATTTACGCCATGTTATTCAGTGCTCCCCGAGGGGGGCGTGACTGTTTACATCGCAGCCCCCTCGGCCCCCACCACCACCACCACCACCACCCTCCTCCTCCTCCTCCTCCACACCAGCACCGGGTGAGTACTGTGGTGCAAACACTGACCCCTCTCCGTCTTGCAGTGTAATGACAGTCCTGCCACTAAACTGTGATGAATCCTGCTCTGAGAAACAGAGCAATGCCATGCTGAATTTGGGACTGACACAGCAAAGGTTTTCACATTTTAAATCAATTGAAACTGTGTGGGTTTCTCGCACCAGTTCAAAAATATGTTGTAATTCTAATCACATCAGAAGGAAAGGAGCTAGGCGGTCCATCCCTGCTAATCTAATTCCTATTCCTTGCAGTAATCAATCAACCACACCCACTGATACTGATATTAATTTTAACCTTGCTTTGCTTAATGTCAGATCACTATGGAACAAATCATTTTTAATTAATAACTTTATCTGTTCTTATGATCTTGATTTTATGTTTATGACCGAAACATGGCTTGACCAAACTACAGGAAACACGGTTTTAATAGAAGCAACGCCACCAAATTTCAAATTTGAGTCTGAAATGCGAGAAAACAAAAGGGGGGGAGGCATAGCTGCAGTTTTTAGAAATCACATTGTCTCCCATAAAGTGCCCTTGGGAAAATTTTCATCATTTGAATATGTGTCTTTTAAAATTGAACAAAAGCAATCTTCTTCTATTCTTATCATTGTCCTATACAAGCCACCGCAGTCATGTCATACTTTTATTGATCATTTTACTGAGTTGCTTTCAGTTGTATGCACAGATTTTGATGGTTTAGTTATTACAGGCGATTTTAATATTCATGTGGATAATGTTAATGACAGATACGCAAAAGAGCTGAGTTCCATACTTGAATCCTTTGGCCTCACTCAGCATGTGAGTGGCCCCACCCATAGCAGAGGACACACCCTGGACCTGCTTATCACGAAAGGGGTGAATATTTCAAAAGTTAATGTAGTTGATGTTGCTCTGTCGGATCATTTCTGTGTATTTTTTAACATGTGTTTTGCTACCAGACCACCCGCTAAATATGAAATTGTTAGAAGTAGACACTTGAATGAAAACACGGGTGAACTATTTATGGGAATGATCCATTTTGAGAACACATCATGTTCTACTGTAGATGAACTGTTTAACTCTGTCACCTCTAGTGTGTTGAATGTTCTGGACGCCATTGCCCCTGTGAAGGTAAAAATGGTCACAAATAAGCAAAAAGCCCCATGGATAAAAGCAGGCCCGGTCAGGGCACAGAAGCAAGAGTGCCGGAGAGCAGAGAGAAAGTGGAGAAAGTCCAACCTCCAGGGTGATTATAAACTCTTAAAAGAGAAGTTGTGTGCGTTTAACAGAGTACTACGTAGAACAAGAGAATTATACTTTTCTGAAACTATTGAAGGCTGCAGCAACAATCTGCGTGTTCTATTTTCAACAATCAATAGATTAACGAACCCCCCTGTTGAGTTGCCATTAGAACACTACTCCAAATCCAGGTGTAATGAGTTTGCACAGTTCTTCAGAGACAAGGTTCAGGGTATCAGAAATGCCATCACCTCCACAACACAAGTAACAATGCAACATCCAGTGAGGCTTTGTGAGCTAGCTCAATTTGCACCTGTCAATGATGAAACTGTTAAAAAGATAATCACAGGTCTTAGTTCCTCTACCTGCAGTCTGGATGTACTACCTCCTAGATTTCTGAAGTCTGTTATGTGTAGTCTATTACCCTCATTGACAAAAATGATAAACATGTCTTTTTTATCTGGAACATTTCCAATGGCCCTGAAAAAGGCAGTCATCAGGCCCCTCCTAAAAAAGAGCAGTTTGGATGCTGCGGTACTTGAAAATTACCGTCCCATCTCAAATCTGCCTTTCATGGGAAAAATTCTTGAAAAAGTTGCCTACCAACAACTTACTGAATTTTTAATATCTAATGACTCATTTGACATTTTCCAGTCTGGCTTTAGACCACACCACAGTACTGAGACCGCTCTAGTCAAGGTAACAAATGATATTCGGCTTAACACTGATGCAGGAAAAGTCTCTGTTTTAGTCATGTTAGATCTGAGTGCCGCTTTCGACACCGTTGACCATGAGATTCTCATGCAGAGACTGGAGGACTGGGTTGGTGTTGCTGGTACCGCCCTAAGCTGGTTTAGGTCCTATCTAGAAGAAAGGAAGTATTGTGTGGAGATTGGAGACTATGTCTCAGATAATATGGCCCTGACCTGCGGAGTGCCACAGGGGTCGATTCTGGGACCTCTCCTGTTCAATATTTACATGCTGCCATTAGGTCAGTTAATTCAAAGTATGAAAGTGTCCTACCACAATTACGCTGATGACACTCAGATCTATGTCTCACTGACTGCAGGAGAGCATGGACCGGTGGACTCACTCCTTCGCTGTATCCAGCGGATCAGTGAGTGGATGCAATGCAATTTTCTCCAGCTAAATGCGGACAAAACCGAAATTATTGTCTTTGGTCCCGAGAAACAAAGAGAGACCGTCATTTGTCACCTTCAGTCTCTCTCCCTAAGGCCTTTAAATAAGGTCAGAAATCTGGGAGTAATAATGGACTCTGACTTAAACTTCAATAGCCACATTGGATCGGTAACATCAGCAGCTTTTTATCATCTGAAAAATATTGCCAAAATTAAAAATATTGTGTCCAAAGCAGACTTGGAGATTCTTATCCATTCTTTTGTTTCCAGTAGGCTGGATTACTGCAATGGCCTGCTCACAGGTATCTCCAAACATGCAGTAAAACAGCTGCAGTATATTCAAAATGCTGCAGCCCGAGTCCTGACTAGAACCAGGAAGTACGACCACATTAGTCCGGTCCTCAGGTCTCTGCACTGGCTTCCCGTGGCCCAGAGGATAGACTTTAAAGCAGCTCTCCTGGTGTACAAGTCTCTCCATGGCCTTGCACCAAAGTACATCCATGATATGCTAGTCCCATATGAACCAGCCCGGACTCTGAGGAGCGCAGGGACGGGACTCCTGTTAGTGCCCAGAGTCAGGACTAGACAGGGGGAGGCTGATTTTCAGATTTATGCAGCTAAAGTCTGGAACAGTCTTCCTGAGGATGTGAGACTGGCTGCCTCTCTGTCAATGTTCAAATCCATGTTAAAGACTTTTCTTTTTTCCTGTGCATACAACTAAAGAATTTTATCTTTTTAACACACCTTGTTATTTATTGTTGTAACTTGTTGTGTTTTTAACTATTTTATTGTTTTTAATTACTTGTGTGATTCTTATGTTTTTAAATTACTTATGTGATTTTAATGCTTTTTAATTATATATGTGTTTTTAATTGTATTTTAATGGTGATGATTTGTGCATTGTGTGGTGTGGACTGTGAGGCGCTTTGTGTTGCCCTGTGCAGGAAAAGCGCCCTATAAATAAAGATTGATTGATTGATTGATCCGACCGGGATTCGAAACCAGGATCTTCTTGCTGAGAAGCGAGAGTGCTTTCCACTTTCCACTTTGTCACCGTGCCGCCCTGCATTTGACCCACCCTGCAGAGGCACCAGGGTTTCTGTCAGGAGCAGTGGTCGTCGCAGTGCAGCGCCCAGAGACCACCTCCAGATGCTTGGCTCAGCCAGTTCTGAGGATTTTACGTCTTGTACATGTTTTTAGCAGTAATGAAAACTGAAGAACCTGGAAAAAATCTGTACGCAGACACGTGGAGAACTTCTAAACTTCACTCAGAAAGGCTCTGTTTTGATCAGGATTCGTACCCAGGACTGTGTTGCTGAGAAGCGAGACAGGACAACTTTACTGCCTCCGTGTTTTGGCCATAATTTGGAGCTTAATTAGTTAGTAACACAAAGACTTACACTTGTTGTTAGTGGTTATATGAAGACACATGTCAAGTATGAGTTTCCAATTTTCAAAAGATAACCTCATTGAGCTGCTCTGGGAAGATCCCCAAAGTGCCTTCATGCAGGGCCCAGAAATTTACAGAAACTGGAGGCTTTATGCCAAATATAATGGGCTGCTTTGCGTTCAGAGAGGATGAAGAACCTCATCCACAACTACCACAAAAAGACTCTGAGGTGTAGCAATAGTAGTAGTAGTAGATATGAGTGTAGTATTAGTTTTTGTTGTAGTAATACTTGGCTCAGAGAATGCACCTCCAACCAAATATATGACTCTATCATTTGCTGTGCACACGGCTGTGAGAGGCAGAGTTACACCCCTCCTCCCAAAACCAAACCAGTTTTGGCGAGGCCACTTACTAAAATATGGCGAATCCCCCTCAGCCTTTACCCGGAATACAAGGTCAATGTATGTTTGGATAGTTATAAAACACCTCTTGAGT